GCATGTCACTGCAGACAGGAACCCACTGATAATGATCCAGATTCCTTTTGAGACTTCCTCACATAAAACAGAGGAAATATCTTTCATTGGATAACTAAAACTTCCTTTCCTCTGATTTGTACATTACTGAGCAAAAGGGCCCATCCATTGAGTAGCGTCACAGAAGTTAAGTGATGTGTTTCCAGTCACAAAATTACTTTGCAGTGAAACAGAGAGCCCAACTCAAATCTTCCTACTTCTGCTCTGGTGCTCTTTGAAGAACACTCTTCAACTCTAATGAGGAGGCCTTTATCATCAGAGGCAGATAAGGGACAAGTCACTCATTTTCACTAAAACCCCTTTGGGATGCAGAGCAATGATTAAACTTACTTGAAAGTCTTGTGCTTTTGCACGTTTTGCTTCCACACTCCTATCTTTCAAATTGCTAGAAATGGATGTTATTTACTGATTATTTTGCTTGCAATTGATTTGCATACTGCTATTGCATATTGTTAAATGGTTTGTTGATTAATGACTAATGTTGATTTGAACTAAATGTAATGGAATAAGCAAATACATTTTCAAATTTAGATATACAATTTAGTTGCTAAATGATGTTGTTAGTCAGACTTTAAAATATTGATTATTTTAGATAAATCCCTTGCAGAGGAAACCTGGCCACAATTTCCTCCTATATTTTATCTCAATATTTTAAGCTTTATCGCTTCTTTTCTTCTTATTAATTTGTATGTCTGAGTTTTAAAGCTGACATTTCTTATAAGCAAGTACTGCTCCAAAGCCCAGGACTAAGATAAATTCTTTTAAATTCAGAATGTGATAGATTTCAACTAAACAATTTCTTTTCCGGAGATCCATAAGACAAATATTTGGCTTGAATATTAATATTTTCATAACCCTGACTGGATTAATATATTGCACAAATGTCATCAACAAATTATATAAATATCAAATACTTACTAATATAATGAATAATTTTGGAATTATATAAGATTGTTATATTAATACAGGATTATTGAATGGTAGAATTTCTGAGCTGTTAGGAAACACTTGCTGATGTGGCCTCTGGGATCCAGTGAGGTTTTTTTAATTCACACACACACACACACACACACACACAAACACACACACACGCTAGTCAGTTAAGTCAATTATATGAACTATATAATGTATTATGCACTTGAATATATATATATGCTCATGTGTTAGAATATTTAGTATTTTTAATTACTCCAAATCTTAAAAAATCCTATATTCCAACCTATATTTTTTATTTCTACATTTATCTTCCAAATATATGTATTACCTTTGATTATTTTTTATTTCTGCTATTTCATATACATTCATAAATATTTCCAGTTTGTAAATCCATTTAAATGGTAGAACAAACCAAAAAGTTTGTACCATAGATGTTTTAGTATATTTATAGTCTTATATTTTTTTAGACCTACATTTCAATATGCTGTGATAAAAATGTGTATTTCTCTAACAAGGTATTAAGTTTGGTGACTGAAAAGTGTTCTTCAAAGGAATGTAATTCACATTAATTTTCCATGTGATCATTGTTACTTATAGTTTAATAGTCAACATGTTTAAAGTCTAATTAGAAAACAAATCACTGGATATTAAGTTGAGAGACAGATCCAAGTCTGTATCTACATAGCTACCTTGGTGACCTTTGGTAAATTTCATTTTTGTTCTTTGATTTTATTTTCTTTGAAAATGAGAAGTTGAAAGTTTTAAAGCTTTTTTCCCATAACTCTGAAAGAGTTTAGGAGCTCAAAAGAAAATATGACTAAAAGAAATGTGTGGGCATCATTACCTGGCTGCCCAGTATTTTCATGGGCATACTCTGTAACATACTCTGGAAGTTTCTTTAAGAAAATAACTTTGTAGATATGGACATCAAGGGAAAAGGGATCAATCAGAAAAAGAAGGGGAAATGAGTTAGTGACAAAGGAGGAATGGTAGGCAGTAGAAATGATTCCTCACTTACTTGTTTGTTTATCTAGAGTCTAGTTATTCCTATTTGAAAACCTACTGGCACCAGGTATTATCAACAGGGATGAGTAATATGTAATTTTTATCTTTACTGGGTTACATTTGGCACATGGACAGTTGACAGCTGTCAGTCAGGTGGCTGGTCAATGAGGAGATACATGTAAAGCTGCCAAAATATTTTCGTTGCTTTAAATACAAGTAAACCATTTTAGCTGGAAACTTTGTTGTACTGAAATTAAATAGGCTAATATTCACAATATAACTAATTGACATTAATTATTGGAAGAATCAAGATTTTTTTTCTATTAATATATAGGGTTAAACAAAATGTTTTTCTAAGTGTCTTTTTGAAACAGGAAAACAATTTTCTCCACTGTAAATAAACTATCTTTAAGACAGGAGGATATCTTGCAAATAATGCTTGAAATGCATGTTTTAACGTTAAAAATTTAGAGCAGGTGTAAATCAATGCTACTTTAAACTCCAATATTTTATTAAAATAAACCATTCCCATACATTGAGGGAGCTGGCATAGGTATTTTTGTGACACAATGTTGAAGATTTATTAGAAAAGACAAACATAGCTGCATGGTGAACAAGAATTTACAGCTTCTTTCCATAATGAAAAAAATAATAGGATTTTAGAGTAAGTCTACAACTCAGGCATAGTTAAAATGATACATTTTAGTTATTTTGAAATATTTGAGCTATATCTAACATTATTTCCAATAGGTTCATTTACACTTAAATAATTGACAGAGTCATAAACAATAGTTTGGCAGAAGCTTTTGGCTTGCTTACACTTAATGTTAGTGACAATGTAATAATTATAGCCAACAGTAATGCATATGAAAAGTTAACAAATATAATTCTGACGTCAACATAAGAGCACATGTTCAGTTTTGCAGTAACTATGATCTTTAAAAGTCAATGATGTGATTGTTCAGGAATATAGTATTTAACAGACTAGAAAAAGAAAGTTAAAATTTTCAAGTGCATGAAATATATACTAATTTTTTCAGAGACAAATGAAGTTATTCTAAAAATTTAGCAACTATAATTACTCAAGTGGCTGAATCAATACAATGAAACATGACAAAATATCATACAAAAGTGGCAGCTTGAAACAGCAATAAATACACATATATATTTAAATGTTTTAATCATTTGAAATACATTCTGCTTGTAACCATTTATGATAAAAAGTATATTTGGGTTTTAATTTTTTAGAATATGGGTCCATTAAAATGTTTGTGGATAAGATTATGTTTTAAAAATATTAGATACTTTTTTGGGTGGACCATTTCTGATAATTTTTTAAACCACAAATATTTTCTGATTTTCAACAGTAATTACGACAGTTTAAAAGAGTAATGATAGCTATACATTTGTGGCATATTTATGTTGTCATTGATTTGAAAATTATTTCAGGTGCAGTGGTCATTAAAAAAGTCAGATCTCATTTTTTTTCCACTATACAGCTATGTATTAAGGATGTAGATTGGAAGTTATTTATGGGATCATCATAGTAAAACAATTGCCTCATAGTAATTTATATTGGTAGGAGTCTTTTCTTTCTTAAGCACCAATTCTACCCCCCACAGCCAAGAAAATTGATTTTATGCATAATAACTTATAGCATTCTTGATCAATGTATACTGTTGTGTCTTTTAAATTCATTAGCCTTTGTTGCTTGTGAATATGGAATTTGGTTATTAAAATGGTTTCATATGTTTACTATGTATAGGCTCTAGCTTTGAGCTGCTTACTTGCTTAAATAAATGTTTTCAATTTACTATAATATAAAAATTTGTAGAGAAATGCTGTGAAGCATAGTTAAAAGAATGAGTCCCTGAAATAGAATCACTTTTTAAAAATATGTCCTAACATGTGGTCTCATTTTTTCATATTTTGCATTAATTAAAATCCTATTCTGAAAAAAATATTTTTGCCTAAACTTTTGAATTCACAAAATAAAAATAAAAAATACATAAATGTACTAATTTTGGAAATCAATGACGTAAAAAACATGCTTTAGGACTGTCTTGGTTGTTTATTTCAAAGATTTTTCTCGAAAGAAACTCTTTGTAAAGTAATGAGAAAATATTGCCACTTTTAATTATTAAATAATATTTACTATAATACAATATACTATTATTTAATTATTAAACATAAAATATGTTTTAAATTTTTAAATTATACATGCAATATGTATTTTTAAAATGTGTTAAAATAAAGTTAATTGCATATTCTCTCTAATAATGTTCTTGTAACATGCACACATTTAAAAAATGCAGCACATGTAATTTTTGAAAAGAGCGTGTACCATTGCACCTTCTTATTTGGGAGATTTATTAGAAAATAACTTTTTATTCAGAAAAGATGATGACAGAATTAGATAAAAAAGAGACTAAAATGTTATGTGTGAAACAGTCTAATATTACATACATAATTAACTTTTCATCTTCCAAATATTGAAAACAATAATGAAAGAGACCAATATTAAAAATAGAATCTTTTTTTTTAAAACCTAAAAAAAAGTCTAAAAATTTGTACATGGTAACAGCTTTACTTTCACACCAGGCAAACCCACTGTTGAGCGAGTTGGCTCTAATTCCAATGGTCTCATCAACTTTGTGAACACAGGTACCTCAGTGGTGCCTGTTTCAAGACAACAAAATTAACTTTTAGAGATTAAAAAATACATTTTGGCAATTGAAACTCACCAGTGCCTTTCTGCTTCTCCAGGAAGTTGTACCCGTCAGCACCTGCTGAGGGCTTTGTTGTCCAAACTCTGACAGGTAAAAAAATTCCTGTAGAATAAAGCCAGACCAGCTGGCTTTGAAGAGAAACCCCCCAGTTTGGGCTGCGTTTGCCTCCTCTCCTTTTCTATGAAGACCGAGGCTTTGCCCCCTTGATCGTCAAGCCGTGAGATGCGTGATCCCTCTGCACAAGTGTCTGGCAGGCCGAGGTGCACCTGTTTCTGTCACTCTGGAGTAAATTTAGCTGTAAAGGTATCACTGACAACCAGACCTTTGTCAGTGCTGGCAAAAGAACACAGAACTGCTTCCCTCCCCTCCCCCTCTCCCGACCCCCTATGCTGCTAGTTCCAATGGAAAATATCCAATAGGAAGTCTATCCAAAAATCATTCCTAAAAAATGAAATTGCTTTCATATGGTATAAAAAAGTAAGTTTCCTCATTTCAAGCAGATTTTAAAATTACATTTCCAAGAATAATCTTGGAACAAGACAAGTTTTCGTTCAATTAATTGTGGCTGGAAACTTTTTAATGGAAACATAGCACATACTTACTTCATTTCAGGTTATTAAATTGTGTTAAGCATTAGAGTTATTTGCCATTCTTTGCTGCAGCTCATTTGTTCTTTTCGATCCTAAGAAATATTAGAAGGTTAAATAACTTATCACATACGAGGGATTAATCATACTGCCAAAATTAGAATGTGTGTAGTTCTGAGGGACTGAATGTCAAAATTGTATGCTCATTGCACTAAAACTATTGGGGATCTAGGAAATCACAAGAGCGTTTAAAATGGCAGCTAAGGTCTGTGGAAACCCTTCATGTTTAGAAACTGGCTAAAGCTTGATATCTCTTCTCTTTTGGTTAAGGTAAGGAAATTTATCATTTATGTGAATGTTTTAGTCGAATTTATTTATTGGTTTGAGAAATATTCCTTTTGAGGAAGATAGAGAGGCAATATTCATTAATATGCTTGACATAAATAAAATAGTCAAGATATATAAAGAAGCTCTTGGAATGCTTAGTCAAAGCATTCCAAGCTCCTGCCTTAATAATTATGATTTCTTAAGTGGAGTTAAAAAGAGTTGTACAGAGTACCTGTTCTATCATATTATTGCTGTTTACAGGAGTTGGGTGTGATGAGAAAGGAAAGCTTGGTCAAAATAAAAAATGCTTTGTCAAATAAACAAAGTTCCTATTTACTTACTATGTATAAACAGCCACTCACCAAGCCTCGTTTCTCCACAGGGCACCACTCTCAGATAAAAACATAGACCTGAATGGCATCATCCAGTATCCAAGGAAACCATGTAAGTACCTCTCTCACTGTGTACTTCTGTTCAGAGTTTAAAAGCTAGCTGAGTACTGAATAAGTGAGTGTTTGTATTTAATAATTATAAGGGAGGTACTTTTTAGGAGCTTGCTAAAAAGAAACAGGTTCTTGATTGTTATGTGTGCCATAACAAAACTCTCACATTTTCGTCATATTTCATAAAATTATGTGTTTAGTCCCAACCTCTCCAATAGTTCTTAGGTACAAAACCGCTACTCAAAGTCCTAATGAATTGAGAGTTTCAAACCTTTCCAAGACCCAAACAATGTTTCAGAGCCCTTGTGCCGGGAGAGGTTTCTTAATTGTAGTTAAGCTTGTTAAATTTTAAAAATTAAGAAAAAATTTCTTGGAAAATAATGGGTTATCGGTAAACATTTATGGCAATTTATTTGGCTGTAGGCTTGCTTGAAGAGTGAGTAAGTGAGCAAAGAGACAAGATTACATGTTTAAACCAAGAAAAGAATCTTGAAAGTAAGTGTAATTACCAAGATGCAAAAATCTGTTTGGGGAAAGGGTTGGGAGGTTGGCACATTATTTTCTTTCTCCCCTCCCCCCAAACTAATGTGCATTTCTGCAGCTAATATCAAAGTTTTAATTCATTTTCAGGAGCTATGAAATCTACTGTGGAAATTTAGTTTCTAAACAACATGCTACTCTGGAGAAAATCATTCCTAAAATATTTGAAATTTCTACTATTTCCTTAGATGGACTTCATTGTTTTTTCGTATTTGTACTATCTACTTTTAAAATTAAATTATTTTCAATATGAAATGATTATTCATTATTGTTTGCATACTTTTTCACAAAAATACTTAACATCTTCTATATACTCATGTAATTATAGACCTCATTTTTTGCCTTCTATATTCACTATATGATTTACTTAATATTTCAATACAGACATATTACCTTTCATCGAGGGTGGTTTGAGAGTTTTTCATATGTATTTTGTTTGCTTTTGTCACTTGTGTGTATTTCTACTTTTCCTCTACAGCATGGCTCCTTGCTAAGCATAAATGGTAGAGATTATCTCACAGTTTCTCTGAAGAATTAGAGAGGCCTTTCATGTTCAATATCTAACTGCAGGAGCATTTCACTTTATCACATAATTATGTCAAATTCTATTGTTTATGCATTCACGTATTTCTGTCTTTTAATATATGTCACAACATGCATCTTTCTGAATTGAGAAAAGTTGTGTCAGACTAAGGAATTTCCTGGAACTTTGGAAAGGCCCAGGGGCCTCCTCACCTATTAGGAAGGTCTGGCTAGGAATTTAATTTTTTATGTAACTTACAAACTTCACAAGTGTGGAGTTTGAGGCCCGAAGTACTACCTTCTAAAGTAGGAAATCCTTGCTGCATAATAAAGGTGGGTTTTGCTGAGTAAAGTTGGCAGCAGAGAGGGGTTAGAATAGATCTTTACAAAGAAAGAAAATGCTAAATGAAGGAAAAGACCAGGTAATGTTGTAATTCACTATCTTGAGAAGATGGAATCTTTTCAAATTTGTTGTCCTTGTAATATGGGGAAAATGAAAATCTACAGTACAGTGCTCATGGTACAATTTTAACGGTTTACATTAGAATATAGATTTTTCCAGAAAAAAAAACATTTAAATTTGACATATTTAATGAAACTTCCTATAACAGAAGGCAAACTGCTATAAAAATATATTTTATGTTTATATTTGAGATTTTCCATTCATCAGTATTAGCCTTTCTAATGTAGACAGACTTTGTTTACTAGAACTTTCTGTGATAATGGACATGTTCCATATCTGTACTGCCCAACGTGGCGCTCACTAGCCTTATATGGCTGTTGAGTACTTGACACGTGGCTAGTGCAACAGAGAAACTTAATTTAAAATTGTATTTACATTTAATTAATTTAAATATAAATAGCTCACACATAACTAGTGGCTACCTTATAAACAACCTAGTTCTCGTCTAGATCACTTAGAAATGTGGAAAGAGTCAAATATGTATAGATTTGATATCTCCATCAGTTATTTCTTATCTGTATATCAAGTACAATTGACCATAACTAAAATCATCAGTGCCTGAAAAACTGTGTTGCAACATTAATTTAGCAGGATTTTGAGAAATACTGTCATGTAATAGGCCAAATTGTAAAGAGTACTGTTTTGTTTTCATTAGAAATTAAATACCCTCCTGCAGAGATTTTCTATCCTTTTTTTTTTTTTTTTGGTATTTTGTCAAATGATATAATTTTTTATGTTTACTTTAATATTTGAATTATTATTACAGTAGGATTTATGATATTTTCTCAGAAATGAATGCTTTTAATATGGTCAACAGGGAGACATTCCTTATAAAGCAATTATAAAATTGCTTTATAAGCTTGGGATAGCATCTTTTAAAATGGCCATTGTAAACAAGACTGCGTGAAAAAAATAAATACGCTCATGCAAATTCTAACTATGGGGACAAATATTTTTAAAAGTTTAGTTACAATTGGCCGGGTACAGTGGCTCATGCCTGTAATCTCAGCACTTTGGGAGGCTGAAGCGGGTGGATCAGCTGAGGTCAGGAGTTCAAGACAAGCCTGCCCAACATGGTGAAATTCTGTCTCTACTAAAAATACAAAATTAGCCGGGCATGGTGGCAGACATCTGTAATCCCAGCTACTTGATAGGCTGAGCCAAAAGAATTGCTTGAACCCAAGAGGTGGAGGCTGCAGTGAGCCAAGATTGTGCCATTGCACTCCAGCCTGGGCAACAAGAGCAAAACTCCATCTGAAAAAATGTAATTGACCTCAAAAAGTGCTAGCCTTGTTTCTCCAAAAGTTGATTCTGCTCCCAAAGCACACATCAGAATTTGAATCTCCCGTGACCTTCTCAGGCATTTAGTGAAAATGATCATTAGGATTTATGATGATACTTTTATAATAATGCTAGACAGTAATATTATAAACAGAATAATTGCCTATAAAATAATATTGAAAATTTAAAATTTATATGGATTTTAAAAGTCAGTAAACTCATTATCGAATGCTGATTATTTGTAGGATATTGAACCCTAGACACTCTGAGAAATGTTTTTTTAAATGGAAGACATTCATCCTTAAACTCCATTTGTTGGACCTGGGCATGTTCTTTTGGAAGGATGTATAGGATTCAGATAAGTGAGAGAGAAGAGACTTCCTTTGGCAAAATCTTGGACAAGCTACTCAGTGTTCCTTCATGCAGAAAAACTGTAGGATTCTGGATAAAACGTACTTTCCAATGAATTATCTGACATCAGAAAACTTTTCTGACATCTCTAAAGATCCCTCTTCCTTGCCTCAGAATGAAAAATCCAAAAAGTGTGAGGTGAAACTGCTGTTGAAGATGAATAAACAAACAGAAAAAATGGGATGGACAATTGAATTGTATGGGTTGTATTTATTTGCAAAGATACTATTGGAAGGATAGCAGTCACATGCTCTATTAGACTGCTCCTAAACCGAGCCTTATTTGAAAAAAAAACAAGGAGAACCAACAACCACATTTGTAGACCCAGTTTTTTGGTCTTCTTTTTTTCTTTTGGTATCTTCAGTTAAGTAGACAACCACTTTCATATTGCCAGATCTGTTTTCAGAGAAATGGTCTATCCTTGCTCAGAAACCAGTGTTCTGTGCAGAGAAAACATGGTTCTCTATTGAGGGAATACTACATAGCTCTGATATCTGCATGTTTGAGAAATTCCTTTCATTCAGAAATACAGACTGTAACTTCTGAGTCCTCAACCACCACCTCAAACTAGTATATATTTGTTTACTTTTAAGTGTATTTACCTTTTTGCTATGAAAATTCGGAATATATTAGAAGAGCAGAGGGAAAAAGGTAATGAACTTTTGTATAACCATCCCTACTTTCAACAGCTGTCATCTCATGGGCCAGTTTGTTTCGTCATTGTTGTTTCCACTTTCTACTTCCACCTCAAATTATTCTGAAGCAAATCCCAGACATGACATCATTTTATCTGGTAACATTTCAGTTTGTATCTTTAAAAGATTATTTTTTTTTGACTGAAAAATGAATCACATCTGAAACATCCTCAAATATATAAAACCAATATTCAAAATTTTCAGGTCATCCCCTAAAGTTTTGTATTCTCTACTGTTTGAAGCAGGATTCAAATAAGGTCCATACATTGTAATTGGTTAATATGTCTCTTAATTTATAGGTTTATGTTTATTTTCCCTGGTTTCTTAAGAAACTGGATTATTTGTGCTGTACAGCTTTCCATAGTCTGAATTTGCTGCTGCATTCCTGTAGAGTCATTTAATGAACTCCTCTGCCCTGTTTCTTACCTGTTAATGGGTAGTAAAGGCTCTAGAAACTTGATCAAATTCATTTAGGGGATGGGGGCAAGACTACTGTCTCTTTCTCTTTTTGTGACATTAGCAGGTGGTGTTGATCATAGCCTACGTCCATTTATTCCTTAGACCTTGAAAAATGTCAATATAACTGTCATTTTTGGTTTATTTATTGTGTTGAATGCTTTTATAAACTAGTGTTATAGTTTCAATTTATATAAGAAAATCAGGATGGATGCTTGATTCTTTTATCAGTTCCTAACATAATGTGTGGTTCTTTAACATCCTCTAAAGTTTACCAATGGTTTTAAAAATTTTATTATGAACATGGATGTACTTCAATCTATTGCAGTTATCATAATTATGAATTCCCAGATTGCCACATCTCTGATTACTCAAAGTTTATCTCTGTTGGTTCCTATGTGTTTTTGAAAGAACTTCAAGTTTTTGAGAGCTTCCATGATAATTGGTATGACAAAATATAACAGCCTCATCTTTAACATTTCCTTTCCAATCCTGGAATCAGGCAATTATCCAAGAAATTCTAGTGTTTTTTTTTTTTTTTTTTGGTCTTGGAAATAGTACTTGAAAACCATAATCTTGAAATTAGTGAGTTCATTGCTGCTGACTTAGTCCTTAATCTAAGCCATTTCAAAGAAAAGAGCTAGAAAGAGTGTGTGTGTGTGTGTGTGTCTGTGTGTATAATTTCAAGATTAAATACAACAGGAGCTAACACTAATACTTCCTATTAACATACAGGCCAACAGGTTTTTAATTTAGTCACATCAATCTTGTATCACATCAATGTCCTTTCTCCCCAGCTGACCATCCTACAGTCCTAATTCTTAATGATACTAGCAACTTACTTGCTTTATGCTACAATACACTTACGACAGGCTCAGAGTAATAATACCAAGACTACTACCATCAGTCGTGATGTACACATCCTGTATACTGTCGCTCTTTTCTCTGTAAAGATATATATATTACTGAGGGTTTAAGTCATGTAGAATTGTTTCTTGGTGTAATGCCACCAGCTAGATATAGAAAGATTCACTTGGCTCTTTTTGCTTTCCATTTTTCAGGATTAAAATGTTAGCTAGGAGAGACCAGAGCAGTGCATAGTCTACCTCATTTCCCACTACTGAGGTTTTACCTAATTGCATATGAATTAAGAGATTTTCCATTCTGACTGGTGACAAAAGGCCTATTTCCAGCCCTAGGAAGGTGCCAGGTACTGTTCCCCCTATAATTATTTCAGATGTTTCTTTTCCCAGCCTTGGGTAGTTTCCTCACACTTATATCCAGATCTCTGTGACTCTCTGCAGATTTCAAGGGATTATTGTCTATGCATCTGCTCTCTCCTGAACTCTGTCCTGAAAGCTCTAGCCACTTTATTATCCCATACCTTCAGCTCTGTTTCCTCAACTCAGGCAGTTTGCCTCCTTTGAGTTAGTTGCCCCACCTGTGCAAAGAAACCTTTAGGACCGTAAGCGAGCGTCATCACAGGACTCACCTCCTTAGGGATCAACGTCCTTTGTGGTCTGATATCTCATGTCTTGACAACCATTGTTTCATATATTTTGTCAGGGTTCATTTTTGGTTGTTTAAGGAAGGAGGGCATGTCCAGTTCCTTTCAGTCCATCTTGGCTAGAAATGGAAGTCTCCTCAGTTGTTTCTTCAAAAGTTCAGCTATAGCTTATTAATCCAAACAGCTTCTTAATATGAAGCTCAATATTTAAAACAAATTTTAAAATATTCTGAATGATGTTTGTTTGTGTGTGTGTGTAGGAAATCTTTCTGAAACACTGCTGCAGTCTTAAAACTGTCAGTGCTCGTTCAGGACCTCTTCTCAGTATGTTTCTTGCCAACAAGGTTTTCCCCAACAGATGAGTCCTTTTTTATTTTTTGCCACTTAGAGGAATTTTTTTTTGGTTCACTCATTCATTTCTTTAACAGACCTTTTTGATTACCTGCTATGTGTCATATAAAGTGTTGAGAATACAGTGGTGAGTAAAACACCACTCATTCCCTCAAAAATGTTGCAGTTTAATTTTCACACAGAAACTTGAACATGAATGTTCACAGCAACTTTATTTGTAATAGCCAAAACCTGGAAATGCCCAGATGTCCATCAATGGGTGAATGGTTGGACAGACTGTGATATGAGCATGCTGCAGACTACTGCAATAAAGACTAATGAACTGTTATTATGGGCAACAACTTGGATGAACCTCGAGAAATTGTGCTGAGTGAAAAAAACCTGTCTTAAAAAGATACATTACTGAATGATTCCATTTATACAAACTTCATGAAATAAGACCATTCTAGAGACAGATTACTGGTAGCCAGGGGTTAGGGAGGGGAAGAGGACAGGGTGGCTTGGACATAAAGTGGTAGCACTAGGGAGTCTTATGGTGATGGTATAGTTAAGTGTCTTGATTGTGCTAGGGGTTACTCGAAGCTACACATGTGATATAATGGCATAGAGTTATACACACATACACAGACACAGATATGTGTATGTATAGCTGGGGAAATATCTATGGATTCTATGAAAAGCTCCATGGATTGTACCATTGTCAGTTTCCTGGTTTTAATATTGTAGTTTAGCAAGATGTTAACATTGAGAGTGGGACTAGAGGAAGGGTGCACAGGACCTCCCTGTACACTTTTTTGCAGGTTTTTGTGAATTTTTAATTACCTTGAAATAAAAAGTTAAAAAATACCTTGCAATTTTGTGGAGGGTACAAAGAACTAGATAGCCAATTATAATAGCCAATTGTATACTGCTTTTCACTGAAAATTTTTATCAATTTTGATTTTCTGAAATAAGAACTGGTTGTGCACCAAATCCTTTAAAACTTCTTCTAATAAAATATTCCAGTGTATGTCAGTAGTATAGTGGACAGAGTATTTCTTTCTCATCTTCTGGTAATTTGTGGTGACTGTGTATTCCTAATTTTTATTATGGCCATAGTCTTTTTTTTGTATTCTTTCTTATCTCTGTCTCTATAGCTGAGAAAAACATTAGTTATTTCTTGTGCTTATTTCAGCTAAGGGGAAGTAATACATACTTATGGAGAAATACCTTGTTCCCATTCCCAAGTCATAGGACAATGTCTCTACTACTCTTGTCTCTTAAAGCTTCCCAGTCAGATCATGCTTCTATTTGAGGGATGTGTATTAGCAGTAATGCACTAGCAAAATAGTTGTGTTGATTCTCCTCTATCCCCACCAAAGTGATGTGCCCTCCTTTTATAGCCTCAGTAAAATACCTTAACCATACAAGGCAAACATTTCATAAGAATGAGCATGTATTACTACAAAGCAACAGGAGGCTCGTGTTCTCACAACATGTTCAAATGTAAGCACAAAGACCCACTCCAGATTTAAATATCAGTGAGCTTTGGAATACACACAGCTTTGGCTCATTTCTGGCCCTATTCTGCCATCAGCATGTATCAGCCAAAGCTTTACTCTGACCCGTTTAGAAATAGCCTTTGTATGTGAAGATGAACGCATAGCTGCAGTTGGGTTTTTACATAGTCACTTATTACTATAGCTTATTTTAATTTAGTGACAGATTGTCACATATTTTGAGTTTTCTCAAGTTATAAAAGTTTTTTTTTCTTTCTTGGAACTAAATAGAATATATATTATTTCTGATATGTTGAGGGAAATTTATATTTTGATTTTGTGTTGGTATTACTAGAAAAGTCACTCAATATGAATTTGTGGTCTTGGTACATTGTGACAACTCAGTTGTCCTTTAATTTTTATTAGGCTGCTTCTAAATATCACCAATATGTGAATAGGTGAGTTTACAATATATGGGCTGGAAATGCTTTATTTATTTTTTCTTTTTTACCCCCAAACTCACCCCCTCTTGTCAGTGTCAGGAAAACCTTCTTGGAGTTACTATTGGACTAAGTGCCTGAGTCTGTACCTATGTGTGTTGCTGGAATCTTTACCGGGCAGAAAACATTCTTGGAGTTTAATTTGATCCATCTCCTAGAAATAAAAATCACAAAAGGTGTGTATAAATACCTTTGGTTTGTGTCCTTTACTTTGAAGAGTATAGCAGCCAATTTGAAATTACATAGGTCTACTTTGTGAAATTTACTACTTAGTTTTATCTTTGGCCTCATGTTTCTGTTTAAAACATTGATGAATCATTGGATCTTAGACCATTTTTTTGAATTTTGCTAATATAGATATAATATACTTTACATTTAACAGATCATTTATGGTTGATTCAATCCCAACACTTTCCTCATTCTTTATTGTAGTCAGTTGTATACTACTGTTCATTTAAAATGTTCATTAATTTTGATTTTCTGAAATGAAACCCATTTTTGTGCTAAATCTTTTAAAATCATTCTAAGAAAATAGTCAAGTGTATGTATACTTGACTTAGAATGTTTCTGATAATTTGTGGTGACTCTGTGGCCCTGATTTTAATATGGCCATGATCTTTACTTATCTTCTCCTTCTCATATCTCTCTATATATCTAAGAAAATTGTTAGTTATTTCCTGTTAATTATTTCTTTAAAATGCATTTATAAGGATTCTCAAAGTTATATAACATTACATAAATTCTATACTTTTTCTACAACCTTAATATTGTACCGGTGTTAAAATGGATGTACAAAACCATACTATTAAAAATATTGCAAGCACTATCAGCAACTAACACAGGAAGAGAAAACCAAACACCACCATGTTTTCACTCATAAGTGGGAGTTGAACAGTGAGAACACATGGACACAGGGAGGGGAACATCACACACCAGGCCTGTTGGAGTTTGGGGAGCTAGGGGAGGGAGAGCATTAGGAGAAATACCTTATGTTGATGGGTGCAGCAAACCACCATGCACTTGCATACCTATGTAACAAACCTGCACATTCTGCACATGTATCCCAGAACTTAAAGTATAATGAAAAATTAATTAAAAATATATATTACAAGCATTTTTGGAGAGGAATAAGAATTAATAGGAAGCAGTATAGTTTCCACAGATTTGGAAAGCTACTGAAGAGGTATTTTTTAAAAGTTGCCTAAATATTCTTGAAGTGTTAATTTTGGAACAAGAGTTGCATAGGCACTGCTATAATTCCTCAAGTTCATAGAGAAGGCACTTGCCACATCTTCCTTCCCTCCTCTGCTTCTGCCTGAGCAAAAGTGAGCTGAATCTACTCCCACCTACAGCAAGCCTATCAGTCCCTGGACCAAACGCAACAACAATAGGAAGCATATTTGGAGGCTTTGACTCTTTTCCTCATTGGGCACATGTAGTGGCCCTGCTACTGCTCATTCTGAGATGGAATCTGTGCAGTTCGCTAGATTTGGGAGGCCATGGTTCTGAATTACATCCCAGGGGCCACTGTAACTCTACAGACATGGGAATTGTCCCCTTCTGTCTACATGGGACTAGGCCTCTGCTAAGTTTCCTTGGATCTTTGGATGCTGTCTCTATGCACTCATTTCATTCTGTGAGTTTCATGAAATAGGATCAGAGCTGATGATTTCTAGGTTTTACTGATAGTCACTGGTACTTCTGCCTAATATGATACTCTATTACTTACAGCTGCTTGCATGACTTCAGAGTTATTTCTGCCCTTTGAATATCATGCCTTTCTATCTAATAGATCTGTGGTTGTCAGTTGTGGATAGTTTCTGCTGTTTATTTGTGATCCCAAATGTGTGTCCTGGCTGGCGTTGCTAAATATTCCTTGCGCTTCACACCTGTATCAGAGAGAAGGGCCTCAGACAGAATGAGTCTTTCCAAGCTCTGAAGAGTGGCATCTCACTGATTGCATCATAGTACGAGGCTCATTCACTCTCTCGTTTGTGCCATAGCTCTTCTTAGTTCCAAAAAGCTGCCTTGGCAAATTATAATAATAAAAGCATTAAAATAAAAATTAAAACAAAAGCATGCAATAAAAAGGGGGTAGGATAAAACTAAACCAGAAAACCCGGACCCTCCCTCAAAGATCCTGCAGTTGAATAACTTGAGTTTTTGGCTCACCGTTTCTGCCAATTGGAGAAAAAGAGAGGCATAGAAATGGTGCCACCTATTATCAGATCAGAGTGGGTCAGGAGATTCCAGTTCATCAGGAGAAATGTTTGTGTTTCTCCTAGCTTTGGGAAAGCATATGTTGAGTAGTAGCTCATTGTTTTTATACCAGATAATCATATTAAAATACCAGTGCATCCTTTCTAGCATGATA